TAAATATAATATATATATATATCCATGTACCTACATTATTCGATGTAGAAAATTTAATAATCGTTCGAACGCTTGACGTTACACTTTCTAACTCGTACGAGATCGCGATCGATGATCTCACGATTTTGAGTTCGAGAAAAGAAGGAAAGAAATCGTACAGATCGATTAATCGATCGATCGATCGATCGGTCGTTCATTCGTTCGTTTAGTTAATACTTCAGTTTCAAGTTAATTAAATAATATTAGCGCCTTTTAAACTCGCGTGTAATTCGTGAGTATAAACACGAGTTTGAACGTCGACACAATAGGCTTAATTACCTTTCGTATTAACGTATTAATGCATCCTCATCACTGTTAAATCAATCACGATCTTTTCCCTTTTGGCATTTCACATGTCCGATTCTTCTTACTGCTAATAAATCTCAATTGTCTATTATGCATCAAATATATCGACAGTTGGTTTTTTACCCTCCAGCGATTTGTATTAAATGTTTTTTATTTATTTATTTATTTTCTTGACTATATTTGGTATGTGTACGAAACGTAATTCATCGAAAAGAGCTTTCTCGTTTAATATTTTTTTTATAACACCTTATATAAATATATATATATATATATATATATATATGAACCTATACCAAGGCATCATTATCCATCCAATATTAAATTTTATAATCTTCGTCGAAAAGAAAACGGGCGCCGGTTGGACGGTATTTAAATCATCATGAAAAATCGCCCACAAATATTTTGCTATTTTCGAATATAACTTCTGTTCCCCTCTGGTTCTTTCTCTATCTAATCGTATCGTAAAAAAAAAAGAAACAAAAGTCACCAGAAAAATTCAGAGAGATCGTCGAAATATTTCTCCAAAATACCAATGAAATTCGAGAATATCTACCTGAGTTCAGAAACACAGGCTCGTGCAAAAATACATAAATAAGTAAAAAAAAAAAGAAAAAAATGAAAATATTTATTACATTTCGTTGGAGGGTAAAAATAAAATAAACAAACTCTTGTGGAGCTGGAGGGAAGGAAGGAAGGGAGGGTTTTCCCCATAATCGTTGCTTTCTCCAACTTATCGTACATCAACCGGGATTCAGGGTGGAGTTAGTATCTTTGATGGATCGTAAAAATAAAAAAGAAAGTCAAGTAACGCTTCGACAAATATGAAAAGACAAAGAAGAAATTGCTCCCCCTCCCCTCCCCAAAAAAGAAAAAAAAACAAAATTTCCTATTATCTATAATTAAAATCATTCGTCAATAATTCTTACAAATTTAATATAATAATTATATTCTAAAAAATTCGAATAACAATATAAAAAGATTGACATCATTCTTGTACCGTTTTAAATAAAAATTTGAAACGTGTTAAGTATCTTATATATATCTCTCTTTCTCTCTCTTTCTTTCTCAAGTTGAAGAATTCTCTTTTTCGGAGGTTGCTACTCCCCGCGTCGTGCGGAGAATAGAAAGAGAATAAAAGACAAAGAGAAGAAGAAAAAGAATAATAAGAAAAGAAATGAAAGAAAAAGAAAGAATGAAAGAAGAAGGAAAGAGAGAGGGCAAGAACCCTGCCTATACACTCGTGCAAGTCTCCGAGGAACTGCTATGCTCGCACGAGTGCGCTGTCGGCGCACGTTCCTTGCCAGCAGTAGGTCGAGCTAGGCCCGAAATGCTTATGGTCTATACGTCCTTGAGAGATCCTGCGTCCCGTGCAACCGTAGTCTCTCAGAAATAAGTAAGCAAGTAAGTAATAACGCACACAAACAACACAACGTTCTATGTTTCTCTATGAGAAAGAAATATATGTAAGTATAAATAAATATATACATATACTTTGATAAGAGATATTATAATAGTTGTTACTCACATAAAAAATACTGTGACAAAATTAAAAAAGAAAAGAAAAAAAATATGTATAAAATAAAAATCATCATCGGATTATTTTTTGAAAGATTCTCTCATTTACATGCACATAATATTTTTTTAAATTGTTAATAAACGTTTTATATTATATTTTTCTAAATTATGTAAAAGAAGAAAAGAAAATATTATATATAAATATTTAATATAATACGCGTAGTATGTTCATTGATAAACCAAAGCTTTACTCTATCTGATTTTTCGTCATCATCATCATTATCATCATCATCATCATCATCATCATCATCATCATCATCATCTTTGTAATCATCTTCGAAATAAGATACAACACACACATATTTATATATAAATGTATAGAATCCGGCTAGAGCGAGTTATAATCCTAACTTATTTCAATACATACCTAAAAAATATAATACATACGTAGAGAACGAACGTCTCGAGGTGGTGTGTAGTACGAGATAAGTTAGAGGAGTAGGAGTTAGAGTCCACGAGGAGGAAGTCTCGGGGAGGGAAGAGCAGCAGCAACAGAGCAGCAGCAGGAGGCAGGCAGCGTGTTGAGTGGAGGTGGTTGTGTTGCGCCGTGTAGTGGAGGAAGTTGAGAAGGGGGTTTGCGGGGAGGGATAAGCAAGTACCGCTATACCTGGAGTTGCCTCAGGCGAAATACATACCTACCTACCTAGTATATATCCTCCGTGACTTGTTCTCGTCTCTCTTTCTCTCTCTTTCTTTCTTTCCTTCTCTCTTTCTCTGTCTTTTACTCCCCCTCCCACCTCACTTTTAGCGTATATCTCATTCTTTCTTTCTTTCTTTCTCTCGTTCTCTTCATTCTCCTATATCTTTCTTTCTTTCTATCTCTTGAAGTCCACCGAGTATATACTATAGCCCCTTTCGGTTTGCCTGTTGCAGAGAGGTATATCGTCCAAGTCCACCATGATGTACGCCATAGCACTTGGCTTGGCCACTATAGGACTTTGTGGCGGCAACAGCAGCAGCACAACCAGCAGTGTCTTGCTTTGCCTTGCCTTGCTTCGTTTCGTTTCGTTTCGTTTTAAGTCGTCGTCGTCGTCGTCGTCGTTGTCGTGCTGCTGCTGTTGGTGCTGCTGTTGCTGCTGCTGCCGTTGATGTCGCTGTCCTCTTCCTCTTAATCCTCCTCCTTCTCTTTCTTTTCCTCTGTTATCTCTTTCTATTCCCTACCATTCGTTCTTTCTTTCTATCAACTCGTGTGGGCGTACGACAAAAATTGCAACCTATCCTAGAGAAGAATATTCTCCACATCGAATGAAATTTTTCTTTTTCTTTTTCCATTCGATCGGAAAGATTAATTTCTCATTTCTTTCGTTTTTTTTTCACCAATGAAAAGAACAAAGTAGTTGTAGTAGTAGTAGTATTCTGGTATTATTAACTATCTTTATACTGCGTCCTGCTTCTGCTACTACTTCGCCGGTGTTCTCCGTTTCTCCTCTTGCTGTACTCCCTCCCCCATCCTCCCTTCTACCAGCTTACCTACCTACCAACCTACCTTCCTCTCGACCTCCTCCCTCCCTACTCCTCCATCTCCTTCCCTCTCCTTCTTTCCCTGTAACTCCTTCCATCCCGAACATCCCCTCCGACCCTCCTTTTCTCTTCTCCACGCCTCTCCTCCTTCCTCCGCCTCCACCACGCTTACAGTCGTACGGTCGCCGGCGAGCAATACGGTTACGGCCGCGCCGATATCGTCCTCAACACGGACGACGTCGATAGCTATCCCACGAACAGCTGAGGATCTCTTTCTCTCAGCTGGAGCAACACGCGTGGAACCCTCTTACACGTTATTACACGAATTATTATTATTATTTTTTTTTCCTTGTTTTTTTCTCTCATCTATATTATTTTTTTATTTTTTATTATTAATTTTATTATTATTTTATATTTATATAGATTATTATATATAAATATATATATATGTATTATTTTTTTTTGCTGCTTATTTTATCTTCCTATTCGGGAGTTTGATTTAATACGAGAAAGTATGAGAGAGAGATAGAGAGAGAGAGAGTATGAAGATTTGAATATCGTTGAAGTTAATTAGGGGAAAGAAAAACAGAGGAATATTAATCGGACAGACGAGCTGGGATCGATCTTGTCTCGTGAACTATTTTTTTGTATTCTTTTCCACACGTTCTCTGTCTCGTTGTTAGAGTTGTTTTTTTTCTATTTTTTTTTTCTGAAGACTAAGAAGGGGATATTTGTGATCGAAGAAGAAGGATTTTTATCATCGAAAGATAAAGAAGAATAACCTTGTTATTTTTTAATTCATCTATTAATAATTGTAATAAGTTGTTGGATAACTTAAATTAAGGATTCGAATTTAATAAAGAAGATTTGAAAACTACTATAGTGATGTACTGTGATGAGAAAAGATACGATGTTTTAATGATAAATAAAGGTATCTAAGAAATAATAAGAAGAAGAAGGAAAAGAAGAAGAAGAAGAAGAATAACAAAAAAGAAAAAGATAGAGAGAAAGATAATCAATCCACAACGTAATTATCCTTCGTCCTCGGTCGTCATCGTTGAAGAATAAGAAGAAGAAGATAGAGAAAAAGAAGAAAAAGGCAACCAACAGTGAGAGTGCGACGTTTCGAAGATTCGGATAGGACGTATTCTCATCCGAGAAGGACGTTGTCAACTTCGTGAACATCTGGTACCGTGTTTTAGTGCACGCGCACGCGCTAACCATTTTCTCGCAACACCAGTTCCTACGAATATTTTCATTCAAATTAATATCGGTTAAAAAAATCATATATAATAATAATAATAATAATAATAATAATTTAATTAACAAATTCGTATATTGTGAATAAAAATATTGACAATTATTTGTGTGAAAAAAAAAACAATTGGAGGACTTATCTATGCTGTTGTTCTTCATCGTAAAAATAATCAAGATACTTTTAAAGAGAATAAATCAAAGGAGAGGAGAAAGAGAAAGAGAAAGGGAGGGAAAGAGGAAAGAGAGAAACAGAGAGAGAGAGAGAAAGAAAGGAATTTTATTTAAAAAGTTCAATCAAAATCTTTTTATTTTTTTCTTTCTTTTATCTTTTTTTAATTTCTTCTCTATTTCTCTATCTCTTTCTTACTCCCTTTCATTCATACATATATTTTTACAAAAATAACTTGAATGAGAACTGTCATCGGTATGAAGAGAACTAACGCACGTGTGTTCGCCGTGATGTAGCCAATGTACAGTTGGATCCTCAACGAGGAAATATACATCTATTATCTTGAGTTTTAAGAAGAATTATCTTCATTGTTTTTATCATCGAATATTACATTTTATTCGTCGCCTAATATTTTCAACATTGGAAGGATTTTCTTTTTCTACGATATCTTCACACACCTTTTTATTCTTCTTCTTCATCTTCACGGACCGCCGTCGTCCATCTTCTTCCATTCGCAAAGGTTAGTCACTCGTTCCGGTATAATGTTCTTCTTTACCGAGGAACTTTTATATATATATATATATACATAGGCGTAAGCAAGCAAGCAAGCACGGAATACACAGGAAAAAGCAGCCGACGCGTTTCGTGTGGGCAGACGTTCCTGGTATACACATGGAAAGAGAATAAACGAGAGAGAGAGAGAGAGAGAGAGAGAAAGAGAGAGATAGAATGATCGTGCAACGATGTGTCGTCTCGTATGGTTCTCCTACCGAGTCTTATCCTGTGTATACGTACGTGCGTGCCTGTTTGACTGCGTATATATATGTATATATATGTATGTGTATGTGCATGCGTGTAAATGTCTGCGTGTATGTAACTCTGCGCGAGAATAAACGCAGTGTAACGATCGACGGTGAACGAACACGCCACCGCCATCGTGTGTGTATATACATGTATCCATATTGCGAAAGTGGCCGTAAGTCGCATTATTTGCGAGTAGGGAAGCATGAAAAATTTCAGTGACGAGAGAACACCACAAACATTATTTCGTCCTCCCACGTTTTTTTTTTCAATACTAATTATATCTTATCCATTACCAATCGAAACTTTGAAGTTTCTCTTATATGTTTTCGTTCTCTATCTTTTTTTTAATATTTAAGATATATCGGTGGTGATTATCTTATTTTTTTGTTGGTTAAATCGATCCACGTAAATTTAGTGTTTACTTGCGATGATTACTTAAAATAGTAAGAATTGTTTTATTTATTGTGTGTTACAAAACGTGTATACAAATATGATTTAAATAATTATTATGTATCGCACGTGTTAGGTAATCGTATTAATTTTAATAGAAAATGAATATTTTTGTTTTAGTATCATAATCGTAAAATTCGATTGCACTATCATGAAAAACAACATGGAATTACTTTATTTAAATAGGCGCCATAGTAAAAACAATAGTTACACGTTTTTCCAGTCTATTAGGTGAAGCAACGCTTTCAGAAGCTGCTACACGTGCAACCAACGTACTCGTAAGTGTACGTGCCAGTACGTTGTCCCATGGCCGATATCACGGATCAGTCATCGACTTCGTTTTGAATTCCACCTCACGTGGAATCATCCTTCAGGGCTGTAGCTTGTTAACGAAAGTACCCCATCCCCACCTCATCCCCTTCTTTAAAACTATTACGATTACGTCAAGACTGAAAGTTATTTTTGAAGTTTTTATGGTGTTTTTTTTCTTCTTTTTTTTTTATATATATATTCAGATTGTTTTCTAAAGTAACTTATCAATCAATCCACCGTTCGAAGGATAAATTTTGTTTCGATCCATTGACAGTTACGAAACTTTCGTATTTGTGTAATGTAAAATACTACGAACTTATCTTTCATTACGCTAAGAAAAAAAACTGATAGAAAGAAAGTGAGTTGGATCCCCGAAGCATCATCGAAAATTACATCCTTGTTTCGTGCCAAAATGATTTCGACATTAGTTCCATGCGAATAGAAGCCCTCGTCCCCTCCCCTCTTCATCATGAAATTCTTCTCTTCTCAGTCAGATGCAAATAAATATTATTCGCTTATACACCAGAGAAGTCTGTGCACTTTGACATTTTCTTTTAAAACCATAGTGACACATTGTAGCAACAACTTAATATCCTCGAGCGAAGATTATGTTGTAAAATATATATTATTACGTTAATTCGATAAAAAATAACAAATTTAATCGCGTTAAACGTCTATGTTGCTTTCTTATTTTGATTCCATTATTGAAAATTATAAATTATCGTTGATATTTTTAAAACAAAAATCAAAAAAAGATCATAAAATTAACGAATGAAAAACGATTAAAAACTATTCCCGTTAAAAGGTTTCCTCTTAGACGAATAATAATAATAATAACAATAATAATAATAATAATAATAATAATAATAAATTAAGAATATTTTAATTTCTACAGTTAAAAAAAAAAATTAAAACTAAAATGCGTAACTGCAGGGAAAATGTATTAGAGTTTAAAATTTATATTTAGAGTTAAGATTTAAAATGAATGCTCTAAGGGAAACAATTTAGTGAGTTAGTTAACCATCATCTAGCGTCCATCGAGACCGTTTTCTCGTGCCTTAGAGGAATTTCAAATGGTTTTAAACGAGAGAGAGTGAGATAGAGACAATTATCTCGCAGATTGCCGTAGCACCATAAACCTTTTTCGATCTTACTAAGAGGTACAAAGATGTAACTACCTGCTTACGCACCTTCCACGCGTAATTGGGTTGCCCCCGAGCTAAAACAAAGAGAGGTGTATTAGGTGTACGTATGTATGTGTGTATGTATGTGTAAGCTTTTCACCGTAGACACATTAGAACCTAGGATAACTATATATATGTATATATGTATGTAGCTATGTATTTACTGGTTGGTTCTAATTTCGCGGCACTATTATTGGCCGCTGGCCGGATTGCGCGAGCCAGCCGCGAATTTTAAATTTTAAGAGAAGCGTTGATAGAAATACCTAAGCCGATTAAATCGACGACCGACTAATTTTCCTGGGAATCCTCCAACGTCAAATAACCTTTTATATTTTACCGTCGTCGTCGTAGTTGTCGTTGAATGTTCTCTTTCTTTTTTTTTTCTGTTTCTTTTTTCCCTTTTTGCAATATCCTCTTTCTTGCAGATCCGTTTGATTTATTTTCTTAAATTTTTTAAATCTATAATTTATCTCATGTAGACATAATAATTTTATATATTTTTATAAATATATTGTACATTTTAATTTCTATATTATTTGATATATAATATAATTATCAAATTAATATATTATATATGTTAATATAATTAAATATATTAATTAAATATATTAATTTATATAAATTATTATATATTTTATTATTATTATTATTATTATTATTATTATTATTATTATTATTTATTATATTTTATATTTATTATTATTATTATATAATTTATAAAAATATTATTTATATTTATAAATTATATAATATAATATATAATATATTATATATTATTTAATATAATTTAATATTAATTATTTAATATTATATATTATTTAATATAATTTAATATTAATTATTTAATATTATATATTATATTTAATTAAATATTAATTTTTAATACAAAAAATTTACTTAACCCCATCAGGGATACATAAAACAATCTATCAATACACATATTAATTTTAAAATTATTAATAATTATTTTAAATCCTTTTTAAAATATATACTAGCTCAATTTACCTTTATTTCTTATTTATAAAAATAAATTAAACGTGTTCAATAGAACGTTTTTAAATGAATGAAATTTCTCCTATTGTATTAATTCTTATTGTAGTATCATTTAAATAGAGAACGAAAAGAGAAAAGAAAGAGAGAGAATAAGATCGTATACCGTTGGTAGTAAAAGAGTCAATACCGCAATAGTTTTTTCACATTAGTGTACAAGAGAACTATATCTACTTCTCTAACGGCTTTGGATTTTTCTTCGATTTCCAATCACGAACATGTGGAAATGGAAATGACCTGAGAAACTGGAGTAAGGCTTCGCGACTAATAAATTTCTAATTAACATTTAAATCGTGCGTTTACTTACGTGTCACGTGAATCGTGATTTAAATTGTTTTTTTTTCTTTTCTAAGAAAATTTGCGAGAAAAAATAATTCAACATTTATAGACTAATTATAGAAAAATCTATTATATCAAATATCTTACATATATATATATATATATATATATATAATTTTTGCAAATACGATTGGACGATCTGTATATCACCTGTTAGTTTCCAAAAATGGTTATAAAAATCGTTTATATATGTATATATATATATACAAACGTGTGTATCGTAAGCTCGTTAATTCAACGATTCAACGTGATAAACGTAAAACCTTTTTATTCTTTCTTCTTCTCCTACCTCTTTTCTTACATCGAATTGTTTATCGTAAAACCAATACAACCGGGTGCTGCTACCTTTACGGTCTCTCAATACAATGCTTTTCTCTTTCTCGCATATTACCTTTCGTAAGTGTTTCTTGGCGGGTGCTTCAAAAGAGACAATAAGTTATGCAAATGAGGATACGTCGTTCGATTCGCTCCCTAAGGGATTTACATCGTGCTCGTGTGTTTCTTTTTTTTCGATTATACTCTGTTCTATACTTCGATCTTTGACGAATAATCCATGGAATTCGAAAGTCTTAATGTAAAAAAAGAATTAAAGAAAGAAGAACAAAAAAATGAACAAGAAGAAAAAAAAGGGGGTCCGGAATAATAGAAAATTATTGATGGTAAGAAAGTAAGAGGGATAAAGAATGAATCATAGAAAGTAAAATATTAATGGAATAAGAAAGGTTGCTAAAAAAATTATGTATTAGATTATATTCTATTTTTTATAGAGAACAATATATATATTATAAATTAATATAATATATTATTATTTTAATATTATAATTACATACCTGCTATATAAATTGTTACTTAGTAATAAAGTTTATGTTAAAAAATTGGATATCTTAATTAATTCAAAATATTTATTATAAATTAACATTTTATATACATATATGATATTTATTATACATCATATATATATATATATATATATATATATATATATATATATATATATATATATATGAAATATTAATAATAAATTCATAAGATGGTGTTTGATTATAATATAATAATTGAGTTTATAGGAAAAATAAATTTCTCTAACACGATGTGAATTGCGTGCTGCTGCAAGTTTGCTCCGTTATCGTCTAAACAACAAATAATTGGTGAAAAATTCCTAGTGGGCACGAGCCGCGACTGTAGTGTGTAGCATTAATTAACTATAAAATCACAGCGATGGCGAACGCGTTGTCGATCGTACGTTGCCCTTTCCTGCTTTGCTCCGTGCGACACGTGCTTGGAATTAAAGTTGGTCATGTCCCGTGCTACTCGACATATGCACCTATCCTATATACACGAATAACATGTACATAGACAATTACGTATTAACCAGGGTGGG